AGCAGCATTTGGTTACCCATAGTATTAGAAATCTAAATAGTTAAAGTGATGTCTGGTCCAAAGGAGTATGAAGAAGACATTAAGGGCCTATGTGGAATTTGGTTTAGATTTCATGTGTTTTAGGTGATGCCAAGAGAACCAGATGAATTCTGGCAGGCACTTGAGATTTGGGACCCAAAGTACAGATCTGAGTTTAGAGCTTGGGAATGTGCATTTGGAAATCAAAATATCCAATATTTGGATAGTCAAAATCATAAAACTAAATGAACACTCCAAGAGGTATACAATATAATGAAAAGAATATGAGGTAAAATTTTGCTTTTGTTTTTCAGTCAAAAGTGGAAGAAGATCAAGAATACAATAATACAGGCGTATGACCTCTAAAATCCCAAAGAGGTGAGGTGTGGCTATCCAGATCAGATGCTATATGAGGTTGCTCCAAAAAGTTCAGGGAAAATTGGCTTTCGAGATCGTGGACTTGCTTCTGTGAATGTTTGAAGCCCCCTTGTACAGATCAGGACTTAGCAAAAATATAGCCTGTAGTTGGTCTTATCTGATCCATGGTCTGTTTTTGTAAATAAAATGTTAGTGGAACACAGCCAGTACCATTTGTTCACATATTGCTGTGACTTACATTACCATTGCAGAGTTGAGTACTTGCTCCAGAGACTGTATGGTCCACAAAACCTAAGGCCTTTATTGTCTGCCTTGTTGGCAGAAAGTTTGCTGATCTCTCTTACAGAGAACTAACAAATGAAGACCAAGAGGGGTGCCGTTATATTTTATGATAAGGATGCCTTTGATGACCTGAAAGCATTCAGTTGTGTTCTGTAAACAAACGTTTCCCGATAGCCTGTCTGGTGCCTGGCATTTGCTTTTCTTAGTTAGTCTAGGAAGAGACAAGATTCATGAATGAATGAGTAAATGGAAAGGAATGATAGTAGTAAATATTCATTTTTGTCTTGTGAAGTCTATAAAGAAATGAGTGTTAGTTTGAAAGTTATTTGAGGAAGACTTGTTCCAATGCAGGGAAAATATGAAAGAAATGAAAATATGTGTCGCGTCCCTGGGAGGCAGGCAGTGTGTGCTGCCATTACAGGAATTAATGGTCTAAGACTTGAACGCAGGGAGTACATGGGCCTCATTACAGGAAATGAATAGAATTGTTTGTGGAATTAAGTTAAGAATAGTAATTGCTCACACAGCTGTTTTAAATAGCAAATTGTGTTAGGTAATCAGCAAAAATCTACTAAAATGTACTTGATAGTTATGCAGAAAGGGCTTTATTGGTACTGACTTATGATCCTAATGGGTACTATAAACACAAACAAACAAACTAAAAACCTTTGTATGCAGTTTTTCACATTTGTATGGTGTACTGTGTGTTTTTACTTTAATCTGTAAGTTCAGCTATAATGTTTTTTTCTTCGTTCTCTACCCACCAAGCCTAAATATAATTGTCTTGTTGAAAAACAACACCAACGTGAACTTTATGAGCTCACCAAGCAATGAGGTGTGCTGTCATTGAAGGAAGGAGTGTGTACTTGATTGCTTCTCTGTTTGTCTGCCTAGATAAAAACAAAACGTTTCATATACGGTTGGATTTGGGTCTATTAATTGATTTGTTTTCTATTTTTCACCTTAAAGAATTTTTAATGTGTGTTATCTCCTGTGTTCATTTTTGGGCGAGCATTCCATAGGATTTTATTTTAATCTGTCAGTTGGCTTAGCTATGCCTCCACTTTTGGGGGGTGGGGTGGGTGGGAGAGGGCTAGCTTCTGTTGGGATGACACTGTACTGTATATACATCATTAACTTCTCACAGTCTATTTATAATTAATATTGTACTGTTTTACATTAAATTCAGTAGACTTTCGACCTTACAGGTCTATTTATGCCCACCCATGCCTGCCTTGATGCTTTAGTATCCAGGCTTTATACTACTGTGTGCTACATCTGTATACCTTAACGTCCCTAGGAGAGAAGGCTCTAGTTATTGCTTTAAAGAAGCTAAAGGAACAGAGTGCCTTGCATATTTACTGTTGTTTTGGTGGTGGTGGGGTTCTGGTTTTTTTTTTTTAGGTTGGAATTCAATACATATATTCAATACGTATATCACATATTTACGGTTTCTGATGTTCTTCTTTTCTCCTTAAGACCCAGATTTCCTCTGAAAACAGTTTCCTTCAGCTTGAATAACTTCTTGTACCCTTTCTTGTACTGCATGCAATCCTACTGGCAAGGGATTCTTTTCTTTCAATCTGAAAATGTGATAGAAGGCTATTTTTTACCAGATAGAGTTCTGGGTAGATTGTTACTAGTTTTATCCTCCTGGCACATTAAAGATATTTCCCTACATCTGTTGGCATTCATAATTTCTGATGGCAAGTCTGAAGTAATTTGAACCGAAATGTGTTTCTTTTTCTGGACAATGTCACAAACTGGTTACCCGCAGTTTGCCTGTGATGTGACTTGGTATGTTTTTGTTTTTTTCTTCTTTTCATATTTACCCTGTGTAATTTTCAGTGAGCATCTTTAATTGATTAAATGAATCACTAGATTTGCAAGTATTTTTGGCCTTTTTTCCCTTCGGATTTCTTTTTTCAAACTTGTTCTCTATGTTCTTTCATTAGTGCTATGTTTGAGTTATAAGTATTTTCTTTCAGATCTCTTTTGGTCTTTCTTTAGACTCATGTAACCACATGCAATGATGCAGAATGCAGGAATATCACAGGCCAGTGGGTGCAAAGTCTTGTGTATCCAATGGTTCTGGATCCATCTCCAGGGCTCTGGCAGCAACCAGGGTCAGTCAGCAGGAAGGTGAAGGCAGAGAGAAGGGGAGGTTCCCAGGGCCCTCCTTATGACAAGGCCACACCCACAACAAAGCACCATCAGACTGACTTGATTGACAGCTTGAATACCATCCCTACATTTAGTATATCTTCAAGTTGAAATTATGTAACTACCACAATCACCTTTAAATAAAAAAAAGGTTTCCATAATTTCCTAGTGATTAAGCACCTAGAGAAGTGTGCGGGACCGTGTTCTCATAATGATGGGTGGAAAGGGTAGGATAGAAGCTGTGAGATCGTTTTATGACTAACTTAATTGAAGGAGTATCCATATTCACAATAAATGGGGATGGGAGTGGAGGTCAACCTTAGCCTATATCATGATGTCTTCATAAGAAAGGAAGCAATGCTAGATGATGGACTGAGTCATTAAGTTTACTCAAGTCTCTAAGACTTATTCTTTAATACCTTGAAAGCTTGATTTCCACCTTTTGTTATTTCCACCTTCTTAGTAAACTGTCTATACCATAAACAAACTCACTGCCATCGAGTCAATATCAACTCCTATTAGAACTGCCTCCTTGAGTTTACGAGACTGTAACTGTGTATGAGAGTGGAAAGCCCCATCTTTCTCCTGAGGGGTGGCTGGTGGTTTCAAACTCCGGACCTTGCAAATCGTAGCCTAACACCTAACTAGTATGCCATCAGGGCTCCTGGAACTGTCTATAGATGTACTGAATTTTTATTTTTCAGAAAGAGACATTGTTAAATTTACAAGTAATTGTTTTTAATACAAGGTGCAAAATTTAAATTTTTTTAAAGTAGTAAAAATGTGCCTTTTAAAAATTGTAATGGATGGAATAAAGCTATTATTGGATGTCATTTAAGGGATTCCATTCAGAAAACAATTATTTAAAAGATCTTGTATGTTAAAAAAAATAAGTAAAAGATTATGTAAACCTTAAAATTAGCTAAATTATTAATTATATCTTTTCATTCTACTAATCTTCCTAGAATAGATTAGTTTGTCAGAAAGCCAAGCAAGACTCAAAAATGTTCTACTGTTGACATTATTTTTAAAGGTTCTCTTACCTATACTGTTTTTATGTCAATTGAGGAATCACTGAATTGGCGTGCTTATACTGTAAATGGGAAGGAAAGAATATATGAGGATAACAGTGAAGACAACCTCAAACCATCGCCTATTACTGCATTACAACTCTGATGACTATCTTTTAATGAAGTGGGTTTCAGATTTAACTAATTTTTATAATTTCTGTATTAAGTGTGTCTTATTTGTAGAATCTCTTTTCTTGCACCTACCTTGGTCTTGTTGACGAAGCTGTAGAAAGTTTATTATCCCTGTCATAGTTCTTTGCTGTACAGCCTTTGTTTTCAGCAGAAAGAGTCATTTATGTTCAACGATGACGCTTGGCCTTTGTCAGTGCCAGCCACGACTTTTTACTCAGAGTCTGGGTGTGTTAACAATCAAACCACAGAGCTCCGAACTGCAAACCTGCCCAGACTATGGTACTGAACCGCCTCCTTGAGACCATTCCTGTGCCCACTAACAGTGCTGTCTTGTACACCCGGAGTGCTCTGTTACCTATAGACTATCTTAATTTTATTTATCTCTTTTCACTTTATGCTATTGAAGCTATTAAGGTCACTTGATAAAAATGGGATACGTGGTTTGACAGAAATTTATGTATCTCTTGAATTTTGTCTTGTCATAATTGCTTAGCACATATTCATATTTTCTACATTGTCTCTTATAGATGTATTTAAAATAGGACATAGGCTGCATACTTAATCTTTTGAGATACAGAAGTTTCAGATTCATAAAAATAATGAACTTTAATGACTTATTAAGGAACCATCAAAATAAGTTTCCATTTGTTCCTAATGTTAATGAAAGCATGATTTTTTTTGCATGTAAGTTTTCATAAAATGGCTTGCGGCTTTTTATGTAGTAAGTGTTGATTGGCTCTTTGGTTCTGAAACTCTAGATTGTATGTAGGGTACCATATGGGAATTCATGGGCAGTGATGAAGATTCTCTGAATAATTTGTTTTCTAAGTAAAGGATTGGTATACAGCCAGTTTCATCAAAATACAAATATAACTTACTGAACTGTAGTACCCTCTGCTTCTGTGGTACTACCTCCCATCTACCCCACTCTGACCCCCTTCTTCCTTTTCTCCTCAGGTATGGATGAACGAGGAGGTGCGACATCTTGGGGAACAAGTGGCCAACCAAGCCCCTCTTATGACTCATCTAGAGTAAGTTTGCTTAGCAACCCTTGATTAGAACATTAAACAGAAACGTGCAGTATAAGTAATTTCTTTCATATATGGTGGCTTGATTTCCTGAGAAATCAATCCTATACTTCTGTGGTCATTTACAGTTTCTGTGTGGTTTAGTTGCTTGGGAGAAAGAGCGGTGGCTTCCAAAGCCCAGCTTCTCAGCCTGTCTTGCTCCCATGTTCCTACTTCAGAGTGATCAGGGACCCTGTGTCCCTGTCTCTGGGAAGCATGTCAGAACAGACACAGCAAGTTACAGTTTCAGTCGGCACTTGAAACAGGTACAAGCTAACTTTCTACACATGGGAAAATTTTAAAAAGAGAATATCAGGGGAAAAAACCATACTTTTTAGATTGGGAGGGGATGGAAAAATTAGAAAGAGTTGGAATATAATTAAACACTCTACTTCTAGACTGCCTCCCTCCCACCAGTAAACTGGTGAAGCTAAGAAACATCTTTTCAAGTGTGTCAAACTTTTATTTTTTCAAAATTAACCCGGAGAAGATTCCCCCAAACAAAAGCAAACTCACAGCTATCGATTCGATTCTGACTCATAGCCGTCCGAGGCTGTAGGTCTTTATGTGAGAAAGACGGCCTTATCTTTCTCCTGAGGGCTGGCTTGTGGGTTTAAACTGCCAGCTTTACAGCAGCCTCCTTTGCTAACCTGAGAGTGTTACTGATCACCACCAAATCCTCGGAGCATATTGGTTCATGAAGGAGGAGGAAAACAAGTATGTGATTGGAATTTATAGTCTCAATATTGGTTGTACTGTTTTGTATTGAGAAATACTGAGTTAAAGTAACTTCTTTGTGTCCCTTTTGTTTTAAATACTTTGGGAAGAATTGAAATAGTCGTGTAGGCTCCAGAAAGCTAGAAGGGAAGACATGGGTTTCTGTGTTCCCTCTTATGGAATCAGTGCCTGGAATGCTGAGTTGTAGAGTCAAGGGCACTGCCCTGGGCCTCACGGGACTTGAGGCTGCTGTGGACTGTACCACTAACTAGCCTTTTGCTCTTGAGCATGTTGCTTTGTCTTGGGAATAGCTAAACCGGTTGTCCAAATTTCGTTCCAGCTTTATTGTAAATAGGAAAGGTATGTTTTCTGATTCCATTTTAGGAGTAGGAACTTTACATAGTGTGGAAACTGTAATATTGAATTGTTTTCTTTCAGAGACTTAATTTACTCTCTGATAACATTACTTCTTAGAATGTATTAAAAGGAGCCTTCGTAACTTAATGTTTACTTCTCAAGTTTTCTAGTTGAGTATTGCTTAGGATTTTAGTAGAACAGAATATAGTTATCTAAACACTTTAGAAATTGTGATCCTGAAATTGTTTGCCTCCAGAGTTAGAAAAATAAATATTGCTTTCTTTTTCCAATTTAATCTATAGGTCAAATAAGAGAATGCTGTCTTTTGCCTTTTACCAATATGTATATATAATAGTTAAAATGATCCTATTTCCTTTTAAACATTTTTGCATTTATTTAAAAAATATTTTATTGGTGTATACTTCATTTACCATACAATTGAATCATTCAGTCATATTAAGAAGATTTGTGCAATCATCACCACAATCAATTTCAGAGCATTTTCTTATCGTGCTCATTGTTGTTAGCTCCCCATTGCCCTCCATCCTCCCTGTTCTGTTATATCCCTAGGCAATCATCAGCCCAGTCACTGTTTCTACAGATTTACCTATCCTGGACTTTATATACAGGAGATCATGTAAAACACAAAAAGGAAGCAAACAACAGCAAACTCAACCACAATGACTAGACAAAACATTGAAAAACTCAATCAAAAGAAGACTGAAAATATTAAAAACTAAAGCAACTTCAAATTGGGTCAAGAGGGAGATCAAATACATTTTCACCTAACTACATCTGCCATAATCAACTTTACATTGCTCTCTGTCTGATAGCAAGCCTATTCACATCCCTGTACTGTGTTCACCGGAGATTCACTGGAGGCTCAATTCAGTGTGGGGGGGTCCCTGCAAATGGATTTGAGGCTTCCATGGTCATCTCTAGCCTTCTGCAAACCTGCTGTTCACAATTTCAGTTTTGGTACCATTCCCTTCATTGGACTTGGAGTTTATTTAATCCTTGGATCACACAGAGTGGGGTTCTTCTTCTGCATGGACTTAATTGATGCCTCACTTAAAGGGCTGCTTATTTACAAAGAAGTCTTTAAAACCCCAGATGTTGTTCTTTCTGATAGCCATCTTTCTTTAACATCCATCTCTTTGCTGTAGCATCCATCTCTTCAGTGGTCTCTTCATGTCATAAAGACTAGTTGTTCTTAGATAAGGGCTAGGATTAAATGCAAGCCCCAAATCCATTCATGTCTCTGTGATTTGCTTATATCTCTGGTTGACTTTAGAGACACAATTATGATTTTATGAGAAAGAACATTATAAATCACCTCCCTGGGACATATGGTAATTCTATTGCTAGTGTTAATTTAGTCAATGGTATAGAATTTAAAACATTGTTGAGAAGGAAATTACACAAAACACACAAATTGTTGGATCCTATTTTCTTATTTACAAAAACCAGAATAATATCCAGCTATTCCTAGTTTACCTCCAAAACACATGTATACATCCACCTATCCATAGGTCAGATGTAATATTCAATTACATCCCCAACGTGGAACTTTTTTACTTTTAAAATTTGAAAATGCTTGGTAGACCACAAAAAGTTTCAGGAAACTGCAAAATTGGTAGTTCTGGTGGAATTAACAAAAACAGGTCTGTGGTTTATATGAATTTAACAATCTGGGTCACTAGTCTCCCTCTCCCATGGCATGCTCCAAGAGGGAGAAAGAATATTTTTTGTTAATAGTACTGTAAAGTCATATTTGATTCATGATCCTTATTATATACTGTATATTGTCTGCAGGTAATCATGTACTTTATTAAAAGGCTTCTTAAAGGAAGTTTTTGCTATATGTACTTTTTGCATGGTCGGCTCTGACTTTAAATCTCAGACAGTTGTCTCTCATAGTAACCTTCATACACATGTGAGCTCCTCCTGAGTCCTGTGTTCAAGATGCCACACACACTTCTCACCCATATTCTCTTAGAAATAGAGAAAGTCACTTCAGCAGAGTTTTAGTCTGTTGTGCCCGCTCCCTGATTTTCCCCAAAGCTACCAAGGAAGAAAAAAAGCCTCGTGGTATCAGAATGGAGGAGTTCTGGTTGTCAGAACCACTCCCAGGATGTCCTTCAGTGAAGTTTTCATTACAAAGATACAGGCATATAAACACTATATCTAATCATGGTTATGAAAGAAAAGGTCACATTCTTAGTAAATGGGAAAAATGATACAAAACATGCTGAGACACAAGAACGCAGCATTGTGACTTGTGCCCTCTGACCTTTTACCTTTCTTAGACTATTGGTTTTTGTACTCTTCTGCCACCCTATGCAGAAAACATGTGCACGCGCGCGCGCTCACACACAGAGTGATAAAAGAAGCATTGTGATATGAATAGAACATCCATTTTCAGAAATATGTGATCAGTGGTGATCAAGGTAAAGTAAAAGAGGCTAAAAGAAGTGTGAAGACTCTGTAGACATAGATGAGAGGTGTAGTAGCTTGTACCCTCCCACCCATACTTTTTGTTCTTTACTGAATAAGCACTCTTTATTTAATATTGCACAGGCATAAAGACCTGAGGATATCATGAATTTTCTTGTTCACTACTATATTGATGATTTATTCTAATTTTAGTCTGCACATTCCACCCTCACCCCGCAGGCAGTAATTAAGATCACAAACTCTGGGACCAGATTGCATGACTAGGAGCCCCAGCTCCGCTGCCAGCTTCCTGTGTGATTCTAGACAACTTGCTTAAATTTGTTAAACTTCCCTTGGTTCATCTGTAAAATGGGGAAGATGCCTACTTCATTAGGTTGAATGTGAGGATTAAATGTGAGAATATATGTAAAGTGCTTAGTGAGTGCTATGTAAATGCTCACTTTATTACTATATATAAAGTATAAATTATACAGTAGTTACATATGTATAGATAAATATATGTTTGCATATCCATGCCACTTAAATGTAATAAACATCATCTATTCAATCACATATAACATTTTTATTTCTTTTAGATTTGTAAAGATTAAGTAAAACACTTTCCGTTCTCTTTTATTTATCCATTCCTTTATTAGAAAGCTAAAGATCTCATCCTACTTTCACATAAAAGTTATAGTCTCGGTCTAGTAGAATGCTTTTACACAGTGGATGTGCTTAGAAGTAGCAAGGAATCCTTAGATTTACTTGATTAATTGGGTTTGGAGTTGAAGGAAAAAAGAATACAACTTGACTGAAGATAGTGAAGCTTGAAATAGGCAAGACAAATATTAATGGTAATTAAAATTTCTGTTATGTTAAAAAATTACTGCCCTGCTTGATGACATTGCATAGCACCTATTTGATCGAAGAAACCAAACTTCTGATTTGTATTATATGATCATGGTCAAGTTATATAACCTATTTTTGCCTCCGTTTTTCTCATCTCTAATCATAATTTTATATAGACCTTTTGGTGAAGGTTAAATGTCATAACAGCTATTTAATATTTAACATAGCTTGCTAGTACATTAAAATATTACCATGTCTTCCAAATCTCTAATAACACTAGACATTTCAGTGGCAGTGTTTTCCTAACGTACAAATTCTGTTTCTAAAATGTTGTCTGCTCATTTGAGTTTATGGAAATTCAAAGGAGCCATGCCTTCTTGGTTTCCTTGCCCTCTTAATTCTGCTGCGTAAGTTTGGCCAAGCTCAAAATGAAGTGATGAAATGCCATTGAGGTTTAAACCCTGGTTAGGGATATTTGATGGGGCTCATAGGAAAAAGAATTCTGTATGTTGGTGTTCTTTCTAAGGTGCAAAAGTTTTGCCGTCTTCATTTTACAAGGTAAACTTAAGTGTGCTTGTATGTAGCTACAGATCCACCTTCATTTA